TAACAGGAAGATGCAACAGAGAACGATAAAAGAAGTCTGGGAGATTTTATGCGAAACGCTGCATAAAAGTAAGTTCATCATAAATAAAAATTTTTACTTTGTTTGGATCTCATCTGATTTACTTTTATTACAAGACATTGATTCCTAAAATAGCCTACTGTCAAAGAACTGCTTGTTTTGAGAAAGCAGTAATAGCAGATTACTAAATTAAAAATGATTGTACAATCAATTTTACTGTAAGCCTATAGAATTAAAATAATCCAGATAACTTTGTAACTAAAAGGTGTTCAACATAAGAAAATGAATGTGTCCCCCCTGATGTCTTCTAGGGTGGTGTGGTATGGAGAAACAGCACAGACCAATGTTTTCTTGTTAAAGAGATGACCGGTGACTTTAGAAAGCAGAATTACAACATATAGCATTAAAATTCTACTAGTAGTCTGAGAATTATTCAAATAGCCTATAGAAATTATTGTGTTAATTTGGAATAAGGCAAATTTTAAAAACTGGTGAATCTTCATTATTAACCACCTTTTAATGGGATAAGTTGAAGGAGGAAGGAAGAAAAATGCCAGTCCCCAATGGGAGGCCTGACAAAATGACTCTCCAGAGCCACCTACTAGGGAATCCTGATCTATCACACCGAGGGTGAAGGAGAAATGTGATTAAAATTGGTTTCAGAGTGGGCTACTGTTATTGTGGCAGTGTATCTTGCCCATCAGGTGTGTTGAGGAGTAAAAAGGGCTAAAAAAAACAACATATAAGGAATCTTTCCATTGAAACTATAAATAATTACCATTTGTATGCACCACGACTATTATGCACTGAAAAAAATATTTTAGAAACTGGTTCAGAAATAAAAATTAGAGGAGTCAATTTAAAATTAGAAATAATTCGAGTCACATTTTTTTCTTTCTGCATATGAAAATTCATATTTATAGAACGTGTGCAGCTTAAGCAAGAAGTTTCTTTCAATGCTACTTTGGTAGCATTGACTATATTTGAGCTGTATATGAAATCTTCACTCTATATATTAGAATTCAAAATAAAGATTATACATTGTCAATACTGGCAAGACACACAAAACAAAATTATGCAAATGCATATTGCAGACTATGGGATGTTTTCCTCTTTATTTTGATTGTTAATTCTATGAAAGGATGCGAGCACAGGCAAAATCCTTCTACTGTAAATTTTTGCAACAAAAACTTCAATCAAAAGAACACCAGTAACTTTCTTGGGCTAATGGCACTTTACAAGTTATTTATATCCGTGATTCTTAGTTCTGGAGAACAATAAGAAAATAGACAAACACTTGGAGTGAACCATAGCATCTCTCGGCAGTGGTGTCTAAGACCTAAAGCAAAGGAACTACATTTTAATAAATAAGTTACCCTGTGTTACTGTTCTGAAAAGAGCCAGAAGGGATTGGACTGACTGGCTCCCAAGTCCACAGGCAAGTCCAGACATGGAGAGGTCATTAAAGTCTGTGAATTGGGTGGGGTCCTCATACCACTGTACAGTGTACATACTTTCGCATGTTCTCAGACTAGTACGTGTTTTAATAGGCTGTACTTGCATTTACTGTGTGACGGTTACTAGCACTTACTGTGCAGCTATACACAGACTGCTGTTTGACTGACATACCCATCAGCTGAAAACTCCGTAGGAGGGGCACTGGGTGGCTCAATGGTCGATCATCTGCCTTTGGCTCAGGTCATGATCCTGGAGTCCTGGGATCCTAGGATCAAGTCCCACATCAAGCTCCCTGCAAGGAGCCTGCTTCTCCCTCTGCCTGTGTCTCTGCCTCTCTCTCTGTGTCTCTCATGAATAAATAAAATAAGATCTTTTTAAAAAAAGAAGAAGAAAAAAAAAACTCTGTGGGAGCAAGAAGCCATCTCTGTTACGTTTGTTCACTGTACCTGCGGTACTGAACGGTGCATGTCTGGCCTGTAGTATTTAAAGAAATATTTGCTCAATGAAAGAATTGCAAGGGACAGAGGGCAAATGAGAGGGAGGAAGGGAGGGAACACAAGAGAAAAAAAGAAACTTTTCTATTCTTCAAGTTCATTAAGATCCAGATTTTTTTTTTCACTAGAGGAAACTTTGTTTTACACTAACCAGTAAGAAAATAGAAAATTTTTAAAGTTTTGCCTTTAATTTTGTTCACTTTGAGACTCAAAATCCTCCAGAGATACATAAACTACAGGCTGACAAGATGTGTTGCTGGCAACCCTTGATAAAAAACAAAAACAAACAAAAAAAAAAACCTCTCATTTGAGATACAGGATCATCTGCCAATCTCAGTCCTGTTTTTGATTCTTTCAAGGGTGGATTTAGAAAATAGTCAGTAACCCACAGAGACGTCAGGTACCCTACTAAGGAAGTTTATTAAAATGTGAGATATCCACATTCAGATAATAGATTTTGACATTCTTGTAAGATTGTGGTTTCTGAGAGAAAGCGCAGCTGCTCAAATGAAAAATAAAAAAAAAGAAAAAAGTCCTCTGATATTCAGGTTTTTGCTATTCTATATATTAAACCTCATTAGTTAAAGTGTGGTCCAGGACCAGCAGTACAGCATCATCTGGGAGCGTGTGAGAAAGGCAGATTTCAGCCTCCACACAGGACCTACTGAATCAGAACGCATTTCAGTAAGACCCACTCCTCCCAATGATTCATAAACACAGCAAAGCAGCAGAAGCATTGGATTAAAAAAACATAAATAAATGAAGCTCAAGCCTGAATAGCAGGCAAACTATAAACAATATTGGTGCTATTTATGACAAAGGATTGCTATCCTATATATTTAGATAGTTCACATAAAACAGCAAGAATAATATAAATACCCTAATAGAAAAACAGATAGACAATTAGAAACAACAACAAAAAGAATAAGCTTATAAAAAAGTTTTCCATTAGGAATCAAAAAACTCAAATTTAAGTAGCAAAATACCAAATTGGCAGTTTTGAAAAAAAAAATGATATTTTGTAGAAATACCTGTTCTCTCTTATATTGTTAATTCGACAATAAGTATGAAATGTCTTAAGATTGTAAACATCATTTGATCCAGAAGTTCCAATTATGTAATGTGTTTTTTTTAAAGATTTTATTTATTTATTCATGAGAGACACAGAAAGAGAGGCAGAGACACAGGCAGAGGGAGAAGCAGGCTCCATGCAAGGAGCCCGATGTGGGACTCGATCCTGAGACTCTGGGATCACGCCCTGAGCCGAAGGCAGATGCTTAACCGCTGGGCCATCCAGGCATCCCATAATATGTTTTTAAGAATTAAATTGAAACATAGATATAAAAGGAGTTATCATGATGTAGAAATTTTTAAACATCCTAAATATTTAACAACTGATTTAATAATTATAAAGCTTCCACTGAATAGAACTATTATTAAGTCATTAAAACCATACTATAGAGGCACCTGGGTGGCCCTGTCGGTTGTGATCCTGAAGTCCTGGGATCAAGCCCCATGTCAGGATCCCTGCTCTGAGGGGAGTCTGCTTCTCCCTCTGCCTGTCACCCCACTCATATTCTCTCTCTCTCTCTCTTTCTCTCAAATAAATAAATAAGTAAATAATAAGATCTTAAGAAAAAATAAATAAAAACCATACTATAGAAGAATATCTAACAAACACAGGAGAAATGCCACTTTGTATAAACATCCACTTTTCACATTTTCCAAATTTCCTGCAATGCAGTTACATTACTTTTCTGAGTAGAAAACAGTAGACTTTGGGAGTCCCTGACTGACTCAGTCAGTGGAGCATGTGACTCTTGATCTTAGGGTTGTGAGTTCAAGCCCCTCCTTGGAGGTAGAGATTACTTAAAAAAAGAAAAAAAGGAGAAAATAAAAGAATAAATTTTGCAGTGGTATGATAGAGTCAGCTTATCTAGGCTCCCAAAAGCCAACTGTTAAAATTTCAGGAATTTGTGAGCAGGTTGTTAAGCACAGACATTTAAAAAATAAAGTTATATAAATTCACAATTAAAGTATATGAAAGCAAAGGTAATGAATACCTAAACTCATCCCTTCCTAATTGTGTTCCTGGATTTCACTATTATCTATGACGTTGAGGCTATTTATGCCCACGTATCTGTATGGTGGAAATGCTAACACAATGGTGAGCTAGTGCCTGTCTCTTCCCAACTCAGGGACATTAGGTTGGAGGCTTGTCATCGGTTTTAGGGGGGATATTTGCATGGTGAAGGCCGGCAAATGCTACAAATCAGGACTTCCCTTCTTCTCCCCAGAGAGTTACTTCTTAAACATTTACTAGCACACCACACATGTTTAAAAATTATTTCTTTTAAATGACAATTTCTGGTGAAAATAGAATTTGGCCCTTTGGTGGGGAGAGGGGATGAGAGGAGTTCCCTATCATGAGCAGATTAGGGAGGGGAATGTAATTAAATTAGCTTGATCCTTCCAGGAACATTTCCTATCAAAAAAGGTGGCCCTCGTAGTAAATAGTTCTCTCACCAATTAGTTACTGCAAATCAAACCAACCCCAGTTTAACACTTGTCATCGTCCTTCCTACAGCTTTGTGTTTGGTCTCTACAACCCAGCTGAACCTCTCTGAGACATCCCAGTGTATAAAATAAAGGAAAAGATAATGAATGGCCTTTTTAATTCTCAGAGCTTTGGATAAATAAAACTCATAGATTTGAAAGTACCTTGAAAACTATGAAATATATATGCTATAATACTTACCGCATCACAAAGACCATGAATATCTTATCAAGTGAAATTAGAACCAAAGGTGTTCATGTTCATATTCATAACATATTAATATTGCATTAGTTTTGAAAACATTTTAGCCACAAAGAATTATGGCTATATGATTTTAATAAAAAGCACACAAAACTCCAAGGCCCAAATTTTCTCCCTGTGTTTAACAGATCCTGATGTCATCAATGCACCAATTGATTTTCCTGGAAGTAGTAATTAGGAAAATATGTAAAATATGTGCAGGTTCCAAATACCTGAAACTACAGAAGAATCCAGCAAAGATGATTCCAGTGAATTATTCTCCATGTCCCAGCCCTCTTTCTCTGGACTTGGCTGACTCACAGCTAAAAGAGCTGCCGCTTTAACTTCAGGGCCATCTTCTTGTGATAAATTCTCAGTCCCTGTGAATAATGCATTAGAATGTAAATAACAGTGCAATATAAGTCTTACAGAGTCTGCATACCTGCAATTGCTATTTTGAAAATGAAACAGGGGGTCCTAATAGACATTTACTGAATATATTGAATATATTACAAATGCTTCAGAATCCTAAACAGGATGTAAATTGTATGGTTAATGCAAGTTTTTATACAATATAAATAGCTGTTGTTATTTTGAAAACCAAGTGGAGGTTCCTAGTAGAAATTTGCCTGAATAGGATTTATACTTTAACATTTTGAGATGCTAGGAACATATTTTTTGTTATGATACGGTACTTCTATTTTTAATATGGACACTGAGCAATCCTTTTGTAATGATTACATTTAATCTAAAAAGACATTCTAAGAAGTATCATGGTAATGTCAAAAAATGTCTGATGATTTCCTATCTGACCATTACTGGTAGGAAGTAAGACACTTATTTAATGGCACAAAGTTCTATTTAAGGCTGAATTATGAAAATGCAAATTTGGTGTTGGTTTTTCTTTAGCTTGCGCTCTTGCCATTTTGTTCCCTCGCTGTGTGTTCTACATGAGATGTACATATGCTTTAATGTCAGCCTAAATTCATGTATTTTGAATATCTGGAGATTTTTTAGGAATTCAATAAAATATTCTGTATCCTTCCTACTCCTTCCCTCCATGTCTCCCATCAGCATTTCTTCCTTCAGCCAACATGTATCGACTGTTTTCTTAAGGGACTATGTAGGTTACAAAGAAAAACAAGAGTTCTGTCCTCCTGAAACTACAATCAATCTATCAGAGAAGACTGAGTCTATAAAGAAAATTTCTGAAAGTATCATTTGAGATTGACCCATCTTAAAGAATAAAGGGCAAGTATGTCCTGTGTATGGAGAATGTCCCAAAGACAATTGTTGGGAGTTTGGACTCTGTTGTTGGCCAAGATGACTTGACCGTGTTTGCAGGTACACATTCAATATATTTGGGGTTTGTAATCATGATAATTCATTTATTTTGTAGCTTATCATATAAGGGCTATGCAAATGTTGAATTATATAATCCTCAAAAACAGCCTTAGGTAATAGGTGACAGTATTTTCCCTACTTCATGGAGGAGTAAACTGAGGCACAGAGAGTGCAAGTACCTGCTCAAAGTTATGCCTCTGGGGAAGTAAAAGAGCCAGCATCCAGTAAGTATCAGGATCCGGAGCCTCAGCTCCTGTATCAGCTAGTTCAGGCCGCAGTAGCAAAAGACTAAAGATGGAATGAGTTCACAAGAGAATTTTATTTTCTCCTGGTGCTGGAGATTGGAAGTCCGAGATCAGTGTGCCTGCAAGGCTGGTGTCTGGTAAGAGCTCTGTCCTAGGTGGCAGAAGGCAATCTTCTCACTGTGTCCTCACACAATGAAGAGAGAGACAGAGATCTCTTCCTCTTCTTCTAAAGCCATAGTCCTATCAGATTAGGCCTCACCCTTCCAACCTCATTTCTCCTAAATGACCTCCTTGGACCCCTATTCCCATAAGCAGTCACATTTGAGATTAGGGCTTCAACATATGAATTTTGGGGAAACACAAGTTAGTCCATACTATGGACTTGTTCTGAACCACAAGAATAATCACAGCTAACTTTTTTCTGGTCATAAAGACCCACCAGAAAAATGCTTCAATTCCCATGAAAAGATGTACAGTTCAGCAGACAAAATTTAAATCCTGACTCCTCTGATTGGATTTCCTGAGGAAATGAAAAAGTAAGCCCTATTTTTTAGAATGAGTTGGTCAGGAGCAACCTGCCTTTTGCAGGTAGGGGTGATAGGAGAGTACACAGATACTGCCCCAGCCAAGGATTGCAGTTTTCCCTCCAATCCTCAAAGGAAGCTCAGAGACCCCTTTCCACTCTGCTCCCTGCCCTCGTAGAAGCCCTCATATCTGGGTCAACACCCATCATCACTCACTTTGGAAGAAGGAGGGAGAAGCCTCAACCATGAGAGGACCCTACTATGGGACCAGAGAGGAGGATGGATACTTGGTGCCACTTTTTTTTCTTTTCACAAGGCTTTCTCCGCTTTTATAAAGTGTTTGGCCTTGGCAAGGCAGGATATGTGCGTGGGGTGCGACAATATGGATAAACTAGTCCCTAGCCATTTGGAAACGGACACATGAAGACCTAATAATAACACATATTTATGGCATACAGTAAAGAAAGTGAAGAGGAAAGCATGAGAGTACCAGATGTACGTGATGAGGTGTGTTACAGTGTAGGTATTACCTGGGATTTACTATATTTACTCGACCTTCATTGCTCTTGTTCAAAGAATTATAATTTTTAAATTTACATTAAACTTCTAGGGATGCCTGGATGGCTCAGTGGTTGAGTTTGCCTTCGGCTCAGGGCGTGATCCCAGAGTCCCAGGCTCGAGTCCCCCATCGGGCTCCCTGCATAGAGCCTGCTTCTCCCTCTCCCTGTGTCTCTGTCTCTCTCTCTATCTCTCTCTCTCATGAATAAATAAATAAAATCTTAAAAAAAAAAACTTCTAGGGGTGCCTGCATGGTTCAGTTGGCTGAGGGTCAGACTATTGATCTTGGCTCAGGTCTTAATCTCACTGACGGTGAGCTGGAGCTCTGCATTGGGCATCATGCCCAGTATGGAGCCTACTAAAACAAATAAAACTTCTAACAAAGCACCTTGTGAAGAGGAACTTAAAACTATTTTAGAAAGAGGGGTGCCTGTGTGGCTCAGTGGGTTGAGTGACTCTTGGTTTTTGCTCAGGTCATGATCAGTCCTGGGATTCAGTTGTGAAGAGCTCTGTGCACAGCATGGAGTTGGCTTGTCCCTCTACCTTCCTCAGGCCCCTGCCCTACCCCCCCCACCCTCCCCGACTCACACACACACAGTCTCTCTCTCTCAAATAAATAAAAATCTTTTAAAAAGTATATGTTGTAGAAGGAAATATGACCAAACATGTTGTCTATATCAAGAGAATCTTGAACACACTTTGGAGCAGATCTTCTAGACTCCATCCTAAACAAGTAGTGCCACCATATGCAACTGTAAAATGGGTAGGTACTCTTGAATTTGCGGGACAGAAATGACAAAGTCTTGTGACCTGAAAGACTACCTTTCTAATGTCCCTTGATACACTGAGGCCAAAATTTCCCAGGGAACAACAACAATAAAAAAATCTAGACTGCAGCCATTTTTCTCTCTGAAATTTAAGTCCTTGAATATTTGTCATGGATGGAAATGGTCTCATGAGGTCCTGAAAGGGAACTCACCATAGTTGGTTGTGTGTGTGTGTGTGTGTGTGTGTGTGTGTCTGTCTGTCTCTGTGTATACACATATATATATGTATATATATATATATATATATATATATATATACATATATATATGCAGATATATGTGTGTGTATTTCTAACTACTGGGCAAAATAATTTAGAATAAAAACATAATGTGCTATTTAATAATTTAGTAACTGTTTTTATTTTGCACAAGCATCTTAGAAAACTGTTTACTGTGTATCTTATTCCATTAGAAAGTGGTATGTCACAATGTGGACTTTGTATGTCTCATTCAAGTCTGCTGAGCTTGCAACAATGTGTGTGGTACTCGATGCATGTTCCTTGAACAAATGACTGGGTGAATAGAAGTGGAGTAAATTTGAAGTGATTGTAATTTATTTAAATTATTCATCACCAATTAACTTTTAATTTGTCTTACATATGATATTTTTGAAACCATAGATACAGACCCTGAAAAGAAAATTAGAGGGCAGTTTATATTAGATTTACAAGTAATATATGTACAAGGGCTCTAAAATGTTGCTTTTATTATCATAATTGAAGGATCAAAAAAAAAACTTCACAGGAAGTAATATTGAGATATGTTGGTAATTACAGATCCTCTTTCAAACATTTAATAAATTCCTTAAAATTTGATATAGATGGGATCCCTGGGTGGCGCAGTGGTTTGGCGCCTGCCTTTGGCCCAGGGCGCGATCCTGGAGACCCGGGATCGAATCCCACGTCGGGCTCCCGGTGCATGGAGCCTGCTTCTCCCTCTGCCTGTGTCTCTGTGTCTCTGCCTCTCTCTCTGTGTGTGTGACTATCATAAATAAATAAAAATTTAAAAAAATTTTAAAAAATTGATATAGATGACTAGCAGCACAGCTGTAATAACCACTAAAATAGTTTCTTCTAACTTATTGGCTATATAGCCAATGTATAAATTATTTTGATAAAAATTTTAGGTAATCATCTTGTTTTCAATATAAGACGGGCAGCGGAAAGAATGTTAAACTAAAGGGGTCAGCTGCCAATATTCTAGCCCAGTTTGCTGGGTTTTGTGATTTTTGGTAAGTTCATCTTTTCCTAAGCGATAGTTTCCTCATTTGGGAAGGGGTAAAAAACACACATGATATCCCTAATTGCTTCCAATTTTGAATTTTTGGTTCTAAATATCTTAGTGTTTGGCATTATATCTACACAAAATATCTTACTGTTTGGCATTGTGTCTACACACAATTCACTTCATTTCAATCACTAGGCAAAATGTACAAACTCTTTTTTAGTAGAATTAGATATACCTTCTTTGCTTTCAAAGCAAGTTGTGCCTGTTAGCTCTTGGACAAGGGCATAGTTCTCCGTTTGATTCAGAACAGTCAGAAATAAAGAAAACCAGTTTTCTTTCTGCACGATCCTTTTCAGAAGCTCTCTTACACCTGATTGATTTCCATTGTTTTCAGCAGCAGAGATCTGTTTTAAGAGAAAGGCAGAATTAAAAAAGATCACACATCTTCTGAACAGTTTTAAGCAGGAACTAGCCTTTAAAAAAAATCAGCAATTAAGGGTAAGATTGGTCAAGGCTTATATTCAACCACTAAAGAAAAGAACAATGTCACTTGTAGCAATTCTGGATTGTAGGGGAAAGCAACCCTGTGGGCCAAGCCCCCTTTTAAAAATGCACAGTTTTTTAAAGCCACCAAGATATTAAAAAGTGACACTTAGGAAATAAATGCTCTACTGTGGTCATTCTGAATAAGGGTGCAAGAGAAAGTGTCTTTCATTTCTAGTTCTGTTATGTCTATTTGCATCAATTTCTTTGCGTATCTAGCGCTTGCTATTTCTTTTTAACCAATGGAATCTATAAATAGGAAGCCAAATATTTCTTACCTGACTTCTCTTTCTTGACTATAACTATGAAGTAATTACTATTATAAGATTTATAAGATTTATATTCTTGCCCACCTCTCATATGTTGGCAAATCAAACTCCAATAAAAAATATACAAAAAAAAGAAGCAAGATTTATATTCTTGCTTACTTGGTATTTGTAAAAGGTATTAATGACTATAATATTTTCTTAAATTTGTGTTTATTTAATATTATGAGACAAATTTATTTCTAAATATATTTCTTAAAGTATGGGGCAAAATTATTTCTACGTGCATTCATTACAACTTTTAGTCTTCCTTTTAGTTTTCTTTTAGCTTAAATTAGCAAATCTTTTTAAGTGTGGATCATTTGTGTGATCATTAACACGGTGCACTGCCCAGTTCTTAATACAGCACCAAACAGTTGGAGAAAAGACTAATACAAGCCACATTTAGACCAGAAAGAAATTAGACAGGGCATCATCAGCCTGCTGTGCCTTTGGGGAAGCACTGTATTTCTCTGGGCCTCAGCTTCTGCATGTGCAAAATGAGGCAACTGAAAAGAAAAATCGGGGCTTTTCAATCTTACTTGCATATTAGACACATCAGGGGAGCTTTATCTTTTTTTAAGATTTTATTTATTCATGAGAGACCCAGAAAGAGAGGCAGAGACATACGCAGAGGGAGAAGCAGGCTCCCTGCAGGAGCCCGATGTAGGACTCAATATTGTTTAAGGATCTCATCAGCAGCTAAGATGAGAAATAATGACTTACCTACTCTCGAAGGTCCTTCTGAACATCTGTCCACCTTCTACACCTATAATCTGGGCTGACTAGCTAGATTAATTGTTTCTTATTAAATTTGTGTATTTTCTAGTCCTATAATATCCTATAACTTTTTAGTGTCAGGTATGTGTTTGCTTTTTTGGAACAGCGTCCGACACAAATTTAGTGTTAGTTATTATTAGGGATAACCAAAGATAGGATCTACCTGTGTAAACACTTCACCAGTGAGCACCACTTAGTATAGAAGTACGCAGCATGATTTCTACCCAGTAGGTATGTTTGTCTTAGATAATACTTAATAATGTTATTAGAAAGGCTTTTCATATATTAACCCAGAAACCCTGAAGAAGAAACAGTATCAACCCACTTTGCAGATAAGAAATCCAAGGCCCAGAGCATTCCAGTTACTTCCCTGAAGCCACAAAGCTAGTAAATGGCAGACGCAAAATTTCATCCCAGTCATTTGACTTCAGAGGCCAAACACTGCCTTCTTGAGCTATAATTAGAACTACTAATTGTCTCCAATTTTAAGCACATTTTCTAGCAAGAAGTAGGTAGGATGACAATCAGACTTAATAAAATTTAGGTGACTTCAGTCCATCTCCCTGAAAGCATTTTCTAAGCAGATTCTTGCTCATTTCTACCTTTTGTCCAACTTTACTAATCTCCTAATGGAAACTTTTTGTCTTCTGTGGTGTTTGTAACTTTATTATTATCTGCTAACTTAAATCATAGTTGCTACAGATGTTAAGTAAGACTGGTTTGAGTACCTTTTTCAGACTCAACCATTTCTATTTTTAATCACCTCACTCTTTAATCACCTTTAAGGGATCCCTGGGTGGCACAGCAGTTTGGCGCCTGCCTTTGGCCCAGGGCGCGATCCTGGAGACCCGGGATCGAATCCCACGTCGGGCTCCCGGTGCATGGAGCCTGCTTCTCCCTCTGCCTGTGTCTCTGTGTCTCTGCCTCTCTCTCTGTGTGTGTGACTATCATAAATAAATAAAAATTTTTAAAAAAATAATCACCTTTAAATCCACCTGACAGAAGTAATCAGAAAGCATTTCTCTAAAAAGAGTGAGCACTGTAATGAATATTCTCACTAAAAACCTAATTATGTTATGGGCACAATATTTTTTTCCACTATTAGTCAGTTAGGTTGATTTTCACTGTAGAATTACATTAGCCAAGTTTGCTATGTCCTTATTGAGTTCAGGCATTTGAGGATCATTGTATGATTATTTCCTATGAGTATTTTTATTATTTGAACAGTGGAACTATATATAACACTTGTGCAATTTTAGCAGCTTCATCAACATTCTGACTTTTAAAGAAGTCTACTGAGGTTGTTTTTGTTTTTTACATAATCTGATGTCCTAAAACCTACTGAAGACATTAGATTCCAACGTCAAACTTGATTATGGAAATTCTTGAGACTATTCAGGCTTGAGACTTCCAACAGAACACCTAATGATATTCTCATTCATGTTCCTCTCCTACTGAACTATTTCTCTGAATGTGCAGTTTAAAGTATCTAAGATACACTGTTATTTTTTTTAATTTTTATTTATTTATGATAGGCACACAGTGAGAGAGAGAGAGGCAGAGACACAGGCAGAGGGAGAAGCAGGCTCCATGCACCGGGAGCCCAACGTGGGACTTGATCCCGGGTCTCCAGGATCGCGCCCTGGGCCAAAGGCAGGCGCCAAACCGCTGCGCCACCCAGGGATCCCCTACACTGTTAATTTATGTAATACAAAATAAATATGAATTTGTGGGTAATATAATTAGATGCTTTCACATTCTAAATACTTTGATTTATAAGTTTTCTTTCCAATAGAAATCAGTAGGGAAAACACTGAAATTTCCATTAAGCACTGGGTTGCCACCAAAATTGTTTGATAAAATGTTTTCTCTCCTTCATAAAAGCCTTAGATAATTATTTAAATATAATGGTGATTTTTTTTAACACAGCAGAGCTCAGCTTTCATACCAGTAAACCAGGAAGCAAAACTCATGTTAAAAACAAAGAATTTCTAGAACCTATTTCCCCATAAAAAGTTAATGTATTTCTAAATGAATATGTATCATCTTTCGATGGACACTGAGGCTCCTTCCACAGTTTGGCTATTGTGGACATGGCTGCTAGAAACATCGGGGTGCAGGTGTCCTGGAGTTTCACTGCATCTGTATCTTTGGGGAAAATCCCCAGCAGTGCAATTGCTGGGTCATAGGGCAGATCTATTTTTAACTCCACACAGTTTTCCAGAGTGGCTGCACCAGTTCACATTCCCACCAACAGTGTAGGAGGGTTCCCCTTTCTCCACATCCTCTCCAACATTTGTGGTTTCCTACTTTGCTAATTTTCCCCATTCTCACTGGCGTGAGGTGGGATCTCATGGTGGTTTTGATTTGTATTTCCCTGATGGCAAGTGATGCAGAGCATTTTCTCATGTGCGTGTTGGCCATGTCTATGTCTTCCTCTGTGAGATTTCTGTTCATGTCTTTTGCCCATTTCATGATTGGATTGTTTGTTTCTTTGCTGTTGAGTTTAATAAATTCTTTATAGATCTTGGAAACTAGCCCTTTATCTGATACGTCATTTGCAAATATCTTCTCCCATTCTGTAGGTTGTCTTTTAGTTTTGTTGACGGTATCTTTTGCTGTACAAAAGCTTCTTATCTTGATGAAGTCCCAATAGTTCATTTTTGCTTTTGTTTCTCTTGCTTTCATGGATGAATCTTGCAAGAAGTTACTGTGGCCAAGTTCAAAAAGGGTGTGGTGTTGCCTGTGTTCTCCTCTAGGGTTTTGATAGAATCTTGTCTCACATTAAGATCTTTCATCCATTTTGAGTTTATCTTTGTGTATGGTGCAAGCGAGTGGTCTAGTTTCATTCTTCTGCATGTGGATGTCCAATTTTCCCAGCACCATTTATTGAAGAGACTGTCTTTTTTTTCCAGTGGATAGTCTTTCCTCCTTTGTCGAATATTAGTTGATCATAAAGTTGAGGGTCCACTTCTGGATTCTCTATTCTGTTCCATTGATCTATGTGTCTGTTTTTGTGCCAGTACCACACTGTCTTGATGACCAAAGCTTTGTAGTACAACCTGAAATCTGTCATTGTGATGCCCCCAGCTCTGTTTTTTTTTTTTTTTAAATTCCCCTGGCTATTCGGGGTCTTTTCTGATTCCACACAAATCTTAAAATAATTCGTTCCAACTCTCTGAAGAAAGTCCATGGTATTTTGATAGGGATTGCATTAAACGTGTAGATTGCCCTGGGTAACATTGACATTTTCACAATATTAATTCTTTCAATCCATGAGCATGGAATATTTTTCCATCTCTTTGTGTCTTCCTCAATTTCTTTCAGAAGTGTTCTATAGTTTTTAGGGTATAGATCCTTTACCTCTTTGGTTAGGTTTATTCCTAGGTATCTTATGCTTTTGGGTGCAATTGTAAATGGGATTGACTCCTTAATTTCTCTTTCTTCAGTCATTGTTAGTGTATAGAAATGCTACTGACTTCTGGGCATTGATTTTGTATCCTGTCCCACTGTCAAATTGCTGTATGAGTTCTAGCAATCTTGGGGTGGAGTCTTTTGGGTTTTCAAGGTAGAGTATCATGTCATCGGCGAAGAGGGAGAGTTTGACTTCTTCTTTGCCAATGTAAATGCCTTTTATTTCTTTTTGTTGTCTGATCGCTGAGGCTAGGACTTCTAGTACTATGATGAATGGATAAAGAGGATGTGGTCTATGTATACAATGGAATATTCCTCAGCTATTAGAAACGACAAATACCCACCATTTGCTTCGACATGGATGGAACTGGAGGGTATTATACTGAGTGAAATAAGTCAATCAGAGAAGGACAAACATTATATGGTCTCATTCATTTGGGGAATATAAAAAATAGTGAAAGGGAATAAAGGGGTAAGGAGAAAAAATGAGTGGGAAATATCAGAAAGGGAGACAGAACATGAAAGACTCCTAACTCTGGGAAACAAACTAGGGGTGGTGGAAGGGGAGGTGGGCGGGAGATGGGGGTGACTGGGTGACAGGCACTGAGGTGGGCACTTGACGGGATGAGCCCTGGGTGTTATTCTATATGTTGGCAAATTGAACACCAATAAAAATAAATTTATAAAAAAATAAATAAATGAATATGTATCATCATTACATTGACATAGCTAATTTCTTACAAGTATTTTTTCTTGCTAATAAAATTCTCACATATACCAATTTACCTGGCAATACAATGAGCTGGGGGAGACTGACTCAGGTTCTCAACTTCATGTAAGGACAAATGGACTTGGTTTCTAGCTGGACTGAGCATAGTACTTCTGGTTCTCCTATGTAAATGAAAGGTATATGGAGTCTTCCTGGACTCTGCATGTTTAATGCTTTGAACTGGCCAGGACAGAAACACGCACCTTTCTTCAGCTGTTCACACTGATAATAAGACACTCTGGAAATGTTTATATGATCTCCTCTTTTCCAGAGTTCATGGCTATCTAAGTCAATGGAGGTGCTGAGAGGTCACTAAGCGTCCTAAAATTAAAGCAGGTCAGTACAGGGGCAGCCCCTTTCTATTAGGGAACATTACATTATAGTGATCTATAAAGTGATTCTTTTTTTTTAAAGATTTTATTTATTTATTCATGAGAGACACGCAGAAAGAGAGAGAGAGAGAGGCAGAGACACAGGCAGAGGGAGAAACAGGCTCCATGCAGAAGCCCAACGTGGGACTCGATCCTGGGACTCCACGATCACGCCCTGGGCCAAAGGCAGACGCCAAACCACTGAGCCACCCAGGGATCCCCTATAAATCAATTCTTATATTTATTGTTGACTCTCCAGTATTTACAACAGTGCCTTGCACACGCTAGACTTTATTTATGGAATAAAGAATACTGATCAATGCTACAACTAAGCTCCATGAAACCACAGACAGTATTGGCATTTATTATCCAGTCTTTTCACCACTGGCATGGCGTCTGCCACAAGATGTCACTCCATAAATTTAAACCAAATGAATAAATAACCAATCCCTTAAATAAATTTTGGGTACTTACTGGACACAAAACTAAATCTAGGGTCATTTCTGGAGTCTCTGATATATGAGGGTTCCAGAGATGGACATGAGACCCATAAACTAAAATGACAGAACAAGTAGAAAACAGGAAAATAATTAAATATCAATTTAATTAATATTTAAATATTAAATAAACAGGAAATAAATATTAAATTTAAATAATATTTAAATATTAAATAAACAGGAAAATAATTAAAATATTTTTAGAAGTCTTGACTTCTTAGTCAAATATTACTTTAGGCTGTCAGAAAAGCAAGTCTGAAGATCTTATGTCCATCATCCATTCATTTTCAAATGCCTGGGAAGGTAATTCATGACATCATTTGTTCTCATCCCTTATCCCAGACAACTTTTTGTAAATAAATTCAATCGATCAGTTATTACTCATTAAGAACCAGTTCTATACCTAGTCCTGGCTGGGTTTCTAAAGATGGGAGACATAGTTTTTCCTTGGAATCACAGTTTAATCCAAGTGCGTTAAGCAGACTCAATGTGGTTGATTTATCTAAATCTCTGAAACTTTAAATTCACGAGAGAATGTAACCAAATGAATAATGATAAAATTCATCATCGTCATCACATCAAAACAACTCTTTATTATTATTATTTATTGTGAAGCTTTTTCATAGACATGACTTCTCATTTGTATTCATTAATGTACCATGAATGAGAGGAGACATTATGTCCATTTTCATGGGTAAATTTAGGATCAAGGAACTTATATAACTTGACCCAAAGTAACACATAGAGTAAGAAACATGGTTCTCAAACCCAGGTTTTCCCATTCCAAATTCTCATGTTTTTCCCCAGAGTACTCTTTGCTATTTTGAGATAAATATTTATCAATGACTCTTGTATCAATATAGATTCTTCTAAACCTAGTACTTCCTTCCCACTGTCTCCAATAGCTTATTTTGCCATTGTCTTTGAGAGCTTTGTTGACACATGCAAAACGATGTGTAGACATGATTCTAGAGTCTCATGGAGACACTATTCCTCCTCAGAAAGCTTCAAATGCATAGCTCCTCCATCTTTCAGAGCCTCTTTTGAAATATAAATCTGAGGGAGAGTTTGGGTTGCTTTGGCTTTAACTGATACCCAGTACATAAATGTCCCTTTACTCTACATCTTCTTTGTGTCAAATCCCTTGCATTACTGCTAGCTGCCTCCAAGCTTGCCAGAATCAAGAACTTGGATAAAATCTAGCTGGCAGAAATTCAATCCAGGCAAGACAAAAGTGATGCTGATAGGCAGAAGTATTTAGAGTAAATAAGGAGAAGTGCTGTTTCGCTGGCAATCGGGACATCATACCCACCAAACATAAACAGCTTTGTGGTGTTACTGGACTCTGTTGCTTCTGGACTTCCTAACAGCTACTGTGGCTGGAAATGCCATCTTCCATCTCCAGCTGGCTTGAAGGCTGCATACTGTCTTCCAAATTAAGTTTCTGCCACAGTGATGTACACATTTGTCATATCCAGCTGGACTACTATAATGCGTTCTAGCTGGTTCTCAATACACAAAACTACATAAACGTTACAGACAACAGTGCAAAGTAATTTACTTGTTGGGAAAACCAGCCATCAAAATTAGATGCATGCTTGGGTCTTTGGACAGGCCCATGGCTGTCAAGTCTACAAAGGAGTATTAACTTTAGTCATTAAAGACCAAGTTACATCACAGGCTAATGTGAGGCCAACCAATGTCCAGAACTTTGTTATGAAGAAACAAACAACGGATGGAAAAAAAAGAAAGAAATAAAAAGAAAGAGAAAGAAAGAAAGAAAGAAAGAAAGAAAGAAAGAAAGAAAGAAAGAAGAAAGAAAATGTCAGAATCATAGCATGTTAGACAAAGCCTTTGACTTACTCATGGGTTTATTTGCCTACATGCCTTTCAAAATAAGATTTTTATTTACTTACAATTTGCAGCAAGTCATGTTCAAATAGGTCAGCACTTCTATACGTCATAGTACATCCTTGTTCATTAAGAAACAATGAACAATGAAACTTTACATTAGGGACGCCTGGGTGGCTCAGTGGTTGAGCGTCTGCCTTTGGCTCAGGTCATGATCCTGGGATCCAGGATCGAGTCTCACATCGGGCTCCCTGTGAGGAGCCTGCTTCTCCCTCTGCCTATGTCTCTGCCTCTCTCTCTCGTCTATGTCTCTCATGAATAAATAAATCTTTAAAAAAAAAAAAAAGGAAACATTACATTAAGTGTAAAGTGCCCTGTAAAATCTGCCCTGTCAAAATACCATCTAAAACATCCACTACTCCTTTGCTCATATGGAAAACTGCAATCGGGAGCATGTTTTTTCAATGAATTATCTGCAAGTTTTAATTATCAGAGAATCTTGAAAGTTTGGTTAAAGAAAAAGAAAGTGTGTGTATGTGTGTGTGCGTGTGTGTGTGTGTGTGTGTGTGCATGTGTTATGTAATTTCTCCACTTGGACCAAGATCAAATGGTATAATGTATAATATAGGCCAGAGATTGGCAGGTTGTTTTCTGTGAAGTCCAGATAATAAATACTGTAAGCTCTGTGGCTGTCTGGTGTCTCCTTAACTGCTCTGAAAGCGCTGAAGCAGTTAGAGTATGTAAATGAGTGAGCGTGGCTCTGTTCCCATAAAACTTTCTTTATGAGCACTGACAATTGAAAAACCTAAACCCATTCTTAGTTTATGGGCCTGTAAAACCCAGTAACACGCTGGACTTACTCAGCCCGCGGGTCAGGGTTTGCGGACACCAGTTGTATGGAACTATACAAAGTAAGACGTCAAATGTCACCCCACCAGGATCCGAATCCCTAGGTCCGCCACTGCTTTCCTGGGACCCCTGGGCAAGTTATGTGACCCAACTCAGTTTCCTCATCTGTAAAACAAAGTTAACGACCTTAAAAATCTTAATGGATCATTGGGAGCACGAACTCCGAGAACAGGTTTTGCCAATGATACGAAGCGTCTATAGTAAGTGCTCAACAAATGCTACCTGCTGGCAGGCCGCACTAAGTCGCAGTTGACGCCTCTTCAGTTTATCTTAGTGGAAGGATTAGAAAAGAGCTTTTCTTTCGTCCTTGCATCCTCAAAAGTATATTTTTAAGTGCCTAACCGCTGTCCCCTCCAGAAGGGAGGGAACCTAACTCACCGGGGGATGTCAGGGGCCGCTCGGGGCGGGGCGAGCCCGGGAAGGAGCCCCCCAGGTGCAACCCCTGCCTCCCTCCGCCTGAACTGCCACCTACCCGGTTTCTGTCTTCATCGGTCAGCAGCTTCTTCTCCACGCACTTGTCCAGGACGTCTTTAACCAGAAGCCTGTCCACCAGCGTGGGCTGCAGGAGGTTCAGCAGCTGGAGACACTGGTCGTGGGCGTTCTCGGCGGACGCGGAGGGCAGGTCGGCGAGCTCGGGGTTCAGGTAGCGCGAGGCCAAGACGCTGCCCGCGCTCTCCAGGGCCACCAGGAACTGGCGGGCCCAGCCGGGGGGCCAGGCTCCCTCCTCCAGGGTGCTCAGCAGCAGCTCGGCCGCCTGCAGGTTCCCGGCGTTGGCCGCCTTCCTCTGAATCTGCTCCTTCACCTCCTCGGGCAGGAAGTTCAGGTAGTCCAGGACCGGCTCCACCTGGATGTACGTTTTCACCCGCGCCCTGAAGCACGACAGGAGATGGCGGAAGCTCTGGTCCGCGGAGGGGCGGCCGCTCCACATTCTCGCTCGGCCCCGCGGGGACGGTTCTCGCGGGCCGCCCGACGGCGGGCTCCGGACGCTCCCCGCGGGAGAGGCGCGCCCCGCGGCCGACGGGGGGCGGGGGGAGGGGGGGCCCGGCTCGGCCGCACCTGCGCGGGGGGAGCGGGGGGCCGGGGGGCCCGGCTCGGCCGCACCTGCGCGGGGAGCGCTGCGGGGGGCCCGGCTCGGCCGCACCTGCGCGGGGGGCGCTACGGGGGGGCGCAGGGGGCCCCGGCTCGGCCGCACCTGCGCGGGGGGCGCTGCGGGGGGGCGCGGGGGACCCGGCTCGGCCGCACCTGCGCGGGGGGGGGGCGGGGGGCCCGGCTCGGCCGCACCTGCGCGGGGGGGGGCGGGGGGCTCCGTGCTCCGTACTCCCGGCTCCGGGCTCCGACTGCGCGGCGGCTGGCGGCGGGCGGCGGAGGTCGGGGGACGGGGAGGCGGCCGGGGGCGGGGAGGCCGCGCCCCGCAGGGCAGCCCTGGACCTTGGCGGACTCCGGTTTCTGTTTCGATTCTCCGCGGCGCCCTCGGCCTTCCCCAGATGGGCCTGCGCCCCCTTCGGCGGGTCCGGGGCAGGGCAGTCCGGGGTGGGGGGGCGGGGACCTGGGCCTCCCCGCAGGGCCCGCCGCGAGCTGGGACCCCTGCCCCGCTGTCCCCGCGCCCTGCTGCCGGCTCCGGGGGGCTCGGGGGCGGGCTTGACCGCGCGGGGTCCGGGGCTTCCCGGCCCAGGCCTGAGGACTCGCTGCCCGCACGCGAAGGCGGGCGCGAGGCTTCCCCTTAGCGGGAGCAGACAGGTGGGCCCCCCCCCCCCCGCCCAGGTAAGTCGGGTGCAGGTGCAGAGAATAAGGCTAAGGCGTCGGTCCAGACGTGGGTGAACCCAGAGCCCCAGGATGACGCGACCTTTGCGCTAGAAGGAACCTGACTTCCTGCGTTTCCCCCCAAACCAGCTCTTCCCTGGGGGAATCTGGGCGTGAGAACACGAGTGGAATAACGACCTGTCGCGGTTTGTTCGATTGCCTGAGGCGTAAATCGTAGTCTTCGTCTGGCTTCGCCCAGGGCCTGGTGACAGGCGCAGAGGGACTTGAACCACCGACTCAGCTTAACGGGAAGCCAGGAACGAAGGTTTTCTGTCTCCCAGCCTGTAAGTTCCCCATATTCTTTAATACACAACTTTCCTTTAATAAAACAAAACAAAATCCCCAACAACTTATTTTTGATATAGCTGCTGCCATTCTTTTCTTGGATTCAATACAGAAAGTTTTGGCTGAAGCAGTGAGGAACTTAATTAGCAACTAATGTACCAACTTGTAGTAAACATCAACATTTGTCTATGTCATGAGGGAAAAGAAAAAAAAAAGACACCCACACTGAAAAATGGCAGTTTTGGTTCAGAACAGAAGCCACATAAAAGTGAGTTCTTCAGGTTGCTACTCATATTTTGCAGCCCCGGGGGACCGTGGGTGGTAGTGTGTATGCTTCACGATGGGAACCTCATGGTCTAGAACTCTGTGGAGGATGGAGGGGTCACTCAAGCCCTTAAAAAGACACACGTAGGAAAAGTAATCTGTTGGCAAAGTACGTTCAATGAAGTTTAGATAGGACAGGGAAGCCTGGTGGTGCTTTGCGTAAGAGAAATACAGCGTCCTTGTTTCTACCAGATACACCAGAAGTATTCAGCTGAGCTCTTGAGAGCATGTTGTCCTATTTTATGCTCTAATTACACTACGTAGCTAAGCCTTTTAAACTTCCCTATAGGATGGTAAGCTCCTTGAAGAAAGGGCATATGTACGCAGTGACTGGTACAATACAAACAGTAGGTCCTCCCAGTAGGTCCTTGCTGATCACCACCAATGGGAATTTTGTGTGCCTTGACCTTACCGACTGATCTAATGCAAGCACATAATGAAAGTTACTCGAGTGAAATAAAACTTTGGCCTTGCAGATGGACCTGCTTTAGGTTATTCTTTTCTGTTTCATTCATAAAACACTACTATGTATTTACTTAATTTGGGGAGATAACCTTGTACCTAAAAAAAGAGATTGGGGGTCCCCCGGGGGGCCCAGTCGGTTAAGTGTCTTCCTCTGGACTTCAGTTCGGGTCATGATCTCATGGGTTGTGAGATCCAGGGTCAAAAGTAGAAGCTTACGTGTTTAGTGTTCAGATTTATTCATGCAATCATTTAAAACTATTTATTGAGTACCTGTAATATGATCAGTGCTACTCTTGTGCAGTTAATAAAACTGAACAAAGCTTTATGAGCTTCCAGTCTAATGGGAGTGGGAAGACAGACACCAAATACTAGGCAATGTGCCAGTTGAGAACAAATGCTATGAGGACTATGATAAGATCCATTCCTAAGTATTTTGTTGCTTTTGGTGCTGTCGTAAATAGGATAGTTTTATTTCTTTTTCAGATAATTTGTTGTTAGTGTATAGAAATGCTACTGATTTTTGCATATTCATTTCATATCCTACAACTTCACTGAATTAGTTGACTAGATCTGACAGGTTTTTGGTGGAGTCCTTAGGATTTTCTCTGTATAAAATCATGTCATCTGCAAATAGAGACAATTTTACCTCTTTTTGTCCTATTCTGATACCTTTTTTTTTTTTCTTGCCTGATTGTTCTGGCCAGTACCTCCAGTATATGTTGAGTACGAGTGGTGAAAGTGGGCACCCTTCGCTTGTTCCTGATCTCGGTAAGTCTAGATAATAATGCACATTATAGTTTCACCAGTTGATTTTCCATATAGACACCCCCCTCTAATTCTCACCATTAACATTCCATAATATCTATCAATAACAGTTCATATTTACTCTCAAGGAAGAGTCACTTCACTAGATGAGGATTGAATGATGAAGACTGAATATGAGTGAGAACACCAGAGGGAAAGTAGAAAGGAACCTCTTTTTTTAGGAATCTTCCATCACCTTGATAGGGCCCCTTCTGGAGAAAGGCATTTGAGGAGTGGAAATAGCCAAGCCACAGTCTCTCAAAATGTGTCTATTTTCTTTATCTATAATTATGCATCATGACTTAGTTTATTTTCTGTTTTTTGTTTGAATAGATGTTTTCCTCTGTCAAGTTTCCTCTGATAACTTTCATTTTCATTCTCCTCTTGGTTTTCTAAATGCAAGTTTCTGTTTCCTTTCTCCTTTGGGATAGGAAATCTTGTCAATATATGTCTTTTCCTTTTCTCTAGACCTGCCTTTTCTTTTTAAACCCAAAAGAAACATTTCAGTCCCTATCAATTTTAAAAGTTACCTGTAGCATTTTGTTCCCTAAACAGTAATTCAGGAAGATGGGACATAACAAATTCCTGCTGTTACCCAACTTTTCATCTGCATTTTCTGTAGTTGAGAAATAGTGAAAAATCATAGCTGCCACTTCTTTGACAAACTAGAACTACAGTGTAACAGCAGTATGCTTTTTTCTCAATTAAATTACAATAATTCTAGTTCAATGAGGAAATCCTTCTAAAATTATGTTTCTGTCCTATCATTTATTACCAACTTGTATCAATAAAGACCCTACTTTGTTTCATTGAAAGCTAGATGCCCTTAGCCTAACAGTATAGTGCTCTGATTATGAATGGTGACCCTGAGCCAGGGTGTCAGGACTCACATCTCAGCACTGCCTCTTTCTGTGTGGTCTTAGGAAAATCACCTAAAATTTCTCATTTGTGAAACGAGAATGATACCAGTTCCAGGCCATGAGTTTGTTCAAAGGATGGAATGTAGAGCATTTTGCACCAGCCCCGGCAAGAAGTGTGTCCAAGAAGTGACTGCCAGCATTCTTATACAAGCTATGAGTGTGAGATGGTGCTACCTCTCAAAGAATGCACAATTTATAGTGGAGATAAATTAGTTACGTATATAAACCTACGTAAGAACTAGCCATGTAGCTGAGTTTGTAGACAGATTCATTTTTTTCAGGAAACAGAAGGGGATAGACTGATTTAGAAGAAAAGTTTATTGAAAGGATATTATCATAGCTCTATATTTCAAAATCCTAAGTCCAAAACAGAACAAGAAATTCTAGCTAAAAGTTTATTAGATCCTAATACTCATTTCTTAATTATTTCCACCAATTCATGCATGTGCAAAAGCATGCATGTGCAAAAGTGTTTCTACATAACAAACGATGTTGGGGGGGAAAAGTCAGGAATAAGTGAAAAATTTCCAAAACATCTATTTTCCAAATGCTTCCTCTATAGCTTAAGTCCTTTCAAGAACAGTCACTAGGACTTTTTGTTGTTCGTTAAAACAACACCTATACTTCAAAGGCATAGGTTAGCCATGCTTCTTTTACTTTATTTTAAAATTAATGTTTAAGGGCAGCCCGGGTGGAAAAAATATAAAATAAAATAAAAGTAATGTTTAAGAGCAAACTACAGTCAAATGTATTAGAGTGCCATTGTTTTTTTTTTTCCTTGAAATTATGGTTGATAGCTGGTGAACACTTGGGATTAGATATCTCAGCCTGTGTTCATTCTGATTGAGTGGTTGCTGTTCTGATTACTTAATACTCATCCTTTAACAATTAGTTAAATATTTTTATTTCACCTGCTCATATTATAACTGACAAAGTTTTGAAGTAGAATGAGTTACTGAAATCAAATATTAAGATGAATCTATCTTTTTGATTTGCTAAATCACATAGGGTTAAACTCAGATTTTAAAAAACAATAAAGCATTATCAATTACAAAATACCTTTTATTATCAATGCAATGGATTATGTCATTACATTGAACAATCTTATTTCATCTTTATCTGATGCCTTCCTATTTAATTTTTGTGTTTTATGATGTATCATTAGAGTTGTACATGTAAAGATTTTCTAAGTACATATACTTTCATTAGGGTCCATGTTCAAATATTTTTACTGATAAAAAATCAGGAACAAAGTACTTGGAGACCACAGCTCTAGAGAACCACCCAAGGGCTAGAGCTTGTGATGAATTTGAAGAGCAGGATTAATAAGAATAGAAGAGGAAGATATATAAGTGAAGAGAGAGTTAACTCTGGGGGAAAAAGGGCAATTAAGCATTTAGATCTTGGAAGCAGAATTTTTCTTTTTACTAGTATTGCTTTGTAACAAATGTCAGTATATTACGTTAACACATGGAAACTGAATATATTTCATATCTTATTGCCAGACATGTAATAGGATATAAAATAAATTCTTGAATTGAATGTTTTACTAAAAGTAATGCTCTATTTAAGAAACAGTTTATGTTCATTATAGATATTGGGGGGGGGCATAACAAAACACCAAAGAAGATTATATAGAATTACTTGCAATCCTATCACCCAGAGATTGACATTTTTAATATTTTACATGTATTTCCTACCAGTATTTTATTGCACACATGCATATACACATTCAACATCCCTTCAACAGAGAGTGAACTGAGATGGTCTCAACACCGAGGAAGAGATTTCCAAGGAAGAGATCTCCTCTGTAGGGAGAACATGTTGACATGCCAAGGGGAGGAGAGCCTATAGGGAGATTCCCTACAGCAGGGATGGCTAGGATATTTGGGCAGCAATGCCTAATATTGAATAATCAGTTTGTTCCTGTGTTACACTTGCTTACTGACCCTTCTTGGTCCCAGATCTTTCAAAAAAGTCCACCACATGTAACAGCTTTGTGTTGTGGTGCTTTGGTTAATAAAGGAGAGCTGGTGGCTCCATGTAGGGGAGCAGAGCTGCGTAGAAAGAAAGCTTATCTGTTGAAACTGAGACAGGGAACATGGATTGAGAATTCTATCCAAGGGTGACAGTGAGAGCATGAACCCTCTAGGAATCCTTAGGAATAGTGCCAGACTTACAATGCTCTGCAGGATGGAAAGGGCCATATCAGTAGGCTTGCTTTCAGCTGCAAGATAAAGAATGCCTGAGTAAATGTGGCCCAGCCAGAGGGATTGATTTTTCCCACATAACAAGAACAGTCGGTGCATTCATTGATGTCAGAACTCTAGGATGTGTCCTGTAATTTACTTGGTTTTTCTCTCATGGTTGCAAAATAGCTACAATAGCTACAAACATTATTTCTTCCTATAAATTCAGTTAAAGAGCATAGCGTTTCTCCCATTTGCTTCCTCCCAACAGTGAAGGAAGAAAAATTTCCAGCAAACTTTCTCATATATCTCATTGGCTGGAACCGAGCTGTGCCCTCTTCTCCTAAAATAAAGTGATATCTGCTCAAAACTTAAACAACTGTGATATGTAATAGTAAGGCATTGTTTGTCATAGGAGCTTAAACTATTTTATTTGAATATGAACATACAAAGATGACCAAAGGAGGGCTAGAAAAGCCTCTTTTCAGGCTGCTTTCCCTAAGAGAACACACATATTCCCCTTGAAGAGTGCCCCCAATGGGAAGTTCCTGAGCTGCCATTCAGTTCTTGTGGCCACAGAGTGAGCTAGCAAAGTTGTTCTCAAGCCCAGCTAGCTGCCTATTAGACTCATGGAAAGATGAATACAGTTATCCATTGCAGCCAAATCTCCACAATTGGAACTTTAGTGTCAGTTATTTTCCCTTTCAATTCAACATGTGATTCCACTCTGGTCAAAGGTGAGAACTAGGGGTTAGGGCCTCTTCTTGCCTAGGGCCAGCTGAGAATACAGGCGAGTCTCATTATTCATGGTAGTTATGTACTATAAAGCTGTACTGAATTAGTGCATACTGACCTACTGCTCTTGGGGACATACAAAATAAGGTCACACTCTGGTCACATTTCTAAAACCAATAAATATATAACTTGTTTTGTGTTTCTGTTTAAAGACACCTAAATTAATATGTATTGTTGAAGCATTAACAATGAACTCACAGCACTATAACTCATACCTGAGTGAAGCTTATCTAACCCACATTTTCTCTGTGAGACACATCACAGTTTTCCTATGCTTAGAAATACAAGATAACACTTCAGGACTATTTTAAACGGTGAAATCACCGACAAAAAGCATAAAAATGCAAAAAAAAAATTGGCACTAAATATACCACGAAAAGGACACTTGTTTACAGTATGAGAGCTGAAACAAGAAGGCAGAGCTCTGTCTTGTTCAACCTCAGCAGGAAACATACTCATTGGGCAACTCAAATTTTTCACTCCTCTGCACCGATCCACCAGTGACCATGAAAACATCAAAAGTAATTATTTGGGGGTTACAAATAAATTTTAGTGGTAGGTAGATTCCTGGTCTAACCAGGAAAATATGAAAAATTCAATTGTGTTTTGTATACATATTCCTAAATCATTCATAATCAATTTAGCTAAAGCCATGATATAAATGAACACATATTTTCAGTAATTATGAGAGATGTTGTTGTTTGTAACATTAATCTACCAAATCCATTAACCTGGACATTGTCAGGTATTTGCTTAGAACAAACGAAACTGATTATGCATCACAGAAAATACATACCTTCATGGCAGTAGCACTGTGAACACCCCAGAATGTCAATCTCTGAGAGAAAATTGGAAAAAAAAATAGATCATATATATAAATTCAACCAAAAAGGTCATCTAATGTCTGTAAACTTGAAAGAAAGTAACAAGGGCAGAAAATCTGAGTCTGAGTGACCTTTGAAGAATTTTTGCTTATTTTATATCTGTCTCCAAGGCTTTTGGTAGTTCTCCAGCCTGTCGGTTCAGCAAAGAGAGTGAGGGACAGAGGAAGGAACCCCTG